CTTAAAGAATTCCTCCTACAACTTGCTTTCTTTCCTTCCAAAATTCCTAAAATTTAAACAATAAAATTTTCATAAAACAAATATGCTTTAACAATAAATCTAAGAAAAATTTATATGAAATGAATTTTTACTTACAACGAGGGGATTTTCCAAATCCCAAAATCTTTCTCTTTCTCCCTCACAAATCCCTCTTCTCGCTTCCAAATGTCTTTCTTATCTTCAATTTAATGTTTCCATTAATTAGATAAAGAATTAGGAAACAATTTATACAAAAATGAAAAACAAACCTTTTTCCCTCTTTCTTTCGGTCATTCCTTTCGTTTCTTCCTAAGCTCTACTTCTTTGGCGATAGAAATGAAGAGGAGTTGTTGTTTCTTATCCCCAAACACGATGGATTGCTAAAAATGGCGAATCGAAAACTCCAAAAACCTCCTACGCATGCGTTCGGTTCCTCCTCAGACGTCCTCCCTCTGCCTGTTCGCGGATACTTCTATTTTGCGAAAAGACTCCGATGCTTTTTAATAGGTCTGGCTGAACCGGCCGGACCGAACCGGATTTACACTACACTAGAATATTGAATATCATGCATATGACTTTGTAAATGGCACTGTGTCCTTTCCATCCTCTACCTTCTACTCCCCATCTTTTTGAGTTAATTTACTTGGTCAATTAGGGTCCTTAATTATCAAGGCATTCGATATTTTGTTACTTTCATTAATTTTTTTTTTTTCACAAGATATTACAAGCTACTTAGGTCTACTTACTCAAGCATCTCTTTGAGGTCTGTTCTGTATTTTAAAATTTTTATCAATAAATGAAAATTCAATTTTTTTCCTTCATTAAAACCTTACTAATAATTCTTTAGATTTCATGTAATTTTAGTTTCTCCCCTTCTGCTTCCCCAATGATATTACCCTATTTCTCTCAACATAATGGTGTTACTTAATCCAAAAATCATAAACTATTTGATGTTGCCAAGGTATTGGTATTTTGTTTTACTGTTCCTTGTGAGTTACAGAGGGATGTTGTCTTGACTGCCTACTCTCTATTTAATTAAATCCCTTCTCCACTTCTAGGCCACAACTCACCATATCTACTCTTTATTTCAATCAACTTACTTTCCCCATACATTTTGGATCTTTGGCTGTGCATGCTTTGGTAATGTGTTTTTCTTGCCAGACAAACTCTCTTCGTGCTATTTGGTGTATCTTCATTGGGTAGTCTTATAGCCGGAAAAGTTATTGATGCTATGAGTCCCGTTCGCATGACAACTATTTACTTTCATTGATATAATCTCTTATTAGACTTTCTTTTCTCCTTTGTCCACCCCAAAGCCCTCCTTATCAAGTCCTCTTCATGTCTTTATACCTCTATAGATATGCTCACATTGGCCTCAACCTCCATCCAAGATGATACATCCCAACCACATTTAGATTCAATGGAATGTTCAACAGCTAATAAGCCATTTGACTTACATTTACGGATTTATCTATTGCCCTTCATAGAGGTAAAAAAAGTTCTGTGTTGGTTATCTTATTCAGATATATTCCATTGGATCATTTATCCACTTCATTCTGTACATATGCCTTAACTCAAAATTTTATATCATTCCCAGGGCATGTCAAATTATGTTGCAAAATACTTTATGAAAATGCTCTATGGTTATTGAAATCGATTCTCTTCTCAGTAATCAAAAGGGGGATTTGGTTGTTCCCTTAAGTTCAAAATGATTGTTTGTTAGCAAGCATTCACTATCAGGTTTCATCTACATGGATCGATTGGTCATTATAAAGTATGGTTGGCAGCTAAACGGTTCTTCTAACTCCATGGGATATACTATTTTGACATTGATGTAGGACTTAAATGCTTAGGTAATGTTAAATAAGAAGTTGCACGCTTTTAGATGATAGCAATATTAAATATTAAACTTGTAGCGATTTAAAAAATAAAAGAAAACGAGAGATGGGTGAAACTAGCTTACGCAAAGTCACACAACTAGAAGTTAAGATCACAAAATAATCAATTATTCAAGCATAGCATACACAAAGGATTTTCAACGAGAAATCCCGAAATTAACAATGAGATTAGGTACCATGTGAGTCAACTCACTCACTCTCTAGATTACTAGGCTTAGCGGAGGGAGTTAACACAATCTTTATGAATAAATTATGACCACAATCGAGAGCAATTAGGAAGATATAAAATTTGGAGGAAGTGTTCACTTTCGTCAAGTTATTAGGCTTGGTTTGAAGTACGAGGAGGAAGATCCGGAGTCTTGGTGGTCGATTTCGAGGAAGTTCTGCGTGAGGACAGCCGTACGGAGCCTTCCGGGTAGCAAACAGGAACCTTCCGGACGGCATGACAACAATAGAAACTTGCTGGAACCTTTGGACAACAATTAGGAATCTTCAGGACAGCAACCGGGACATTCTGAACAACACACAACGGATCCCCGGATGTTGGAATAGCAAGAAACCGAGGTTGGACTTTCAAGACAACAATTCTGGTATATCCAGGAAATCTGGACAGCAATGGACTAAGTGGAAATCCCTTTGGGATCAATATCGGTGGAGGGGAAAAAGAGTTTACTCCAAGGAGGGAGGAAGGGGCCGGCCAAGCTTGGGGAAATTAGGGAATTTTGGTTGAGAATTGGTGGAGAAAAGGGGAGGAAAATTTGAGTTTTAAATTTCCTAATTTATTGGAGAAGGGAGGGAAGGGGGGCCGACCAAATCAAACTTTATTGGTTGGTATTTAATTGGATGTATTAATTAGATAGGAGAGAGGGAACGAGGAGAGAGGTTTGTTAATTAATTCCCCTAATTGGAAGCCCAATTGAGGAATTAATTAATTAAGGAGGGGATGTGGCCGGCGGTTTGTGGGGAAGAGGGAAGGAAGGGAAAAGAGGAAATCGACCACAAACCCGGACGCTTCTTGCGGTTGGTGGGTATTGCGATGCCCTCACCTAGGGACTTCAATCTCTCCAAGAAGGCAAGAACTCTCAAGCTCTCCCAAAACACACAAGTGCAAAAATTTCTTGTAATAATCATCATTAACCTCAAAATAGGAGGAAGTGGCTTTTAAATAGCCTCACACAATGAAAGAGAATAAAAGATCAACATGCCCCTATGGCTTACACATGATTAGGCCCTCAAGTGAGGGTATAAATGGAAAATGCAATAATAACAAAAATAAACTAATTATAATACAATGATTCTAATGCAATGATAATAAAAAATAAAGTGGTGCGATCGTGGTCATAAATCGCCGACCACGCCTCTGATAGACTCTCCAATGTCGGATGTCCTCATCAGACACTTTCTCCCCAGGTGCATCCTAAAACATCATCATAATTCTTTTGTCAATATCAATAAATCAAAGTTGGATTATACTTCAAATGAACGTAAGTAATGCCTTCCTTTATGGTGAGTTGCTAGAAATAGTTTATATGGAGCAACCCTTAGGTATGTTACGTAGGGGAAGACTAGTACATGTCCACTTAGGAGGCTTTCTATGGTCTTAAACAAAGTTTACGAACCTGATTTGACAAACTTTTCAAAGTTCTGGTTAAGTTTAGTTATTGCAACAACACTGCCGATCACTTAATCTTCATGAAGCATACACTTGCAAGCTCCGCCATAGTAGCTATTTACGTTGACAATATCTTACTCATTAGAAGTGATCTAACAACCTCTAAGGTAAAAGATTACTTACAAACTTGGTTTGTCTCCGAAGTTCTTAGACAACCAAAATATTTCTTTGAAATTGAATTTTTCCTATTGTACAAAAAGGAGTATCACTTTCCTCAAGAAAATGTTCCATTAATCTGATGGACCGGTTCACCCGGTCCATCCTAGACCCGTGCGGGTCTATGGGAGGCGGGCGGACCGGCTGGACAAAAAGGGGCCCACCCACTTAAGTGGGGGTAATTTGGGGATGTGAGGGACTTTTGGATTGTATGAAGGGGGGCCATTAGGGTTTAGTTGGAGGCATGGCCCACCCACTTAAGTGGGGGTAATTTGGGGATGTGAGGGACTTTTGGATTGTATGAAGGGGGCCATTAGGGTTTAGTTGGAGGCATTATGAAAAGTGTATTCTCTTTCTAGTTTTCTTCTTCTAGTTTCCTTCTTGTTCTTTTCTAGGGTTTTCTTGTGGGAGATCTTGTCCTTCTCGAAGTGGACAAACTTATCTTGTTTTCTCTTGGCTTTGTAATGCAAAGGTTCTTGCTTTTCATCTCAACCCTCTTGTGATTGTTTCTCTTTGCTTTTGGTGGAGAAATTCCTCATTTTTCGGGGAAATTAGGGCAAAACCGAAATTGTGGAACCCTAGGGCGTATCATAATCCTTTTAAAGAAACGTGCCTTCTTGGTTGTAAGCATATTCATACCTATATAGAAACTCAAACCGTACTAATGATGAAGCAGCTGTTGATGATTCATCTAAATATCGAATGTTAGTTGTTAAGTTGTTTATCTAATTGTTACCGGGATTGATATTTTATTCACCATTGGATATGTGAAAAATTACGTTTAAAATTTGAAAAAAGAAAATCATTAGGAAGATGTACCTTGAATTGTTAGATACATCACAAGGGTTTTTGTATGCTAAAATTAACCATTTGAACTTTGAAGCATTCTCCGATACTGAATATGTTATGGCTCAATTTAAGATTGAAAGTCAACCTTGTGATATGCATCTTTATTTGGGGAACTTTGGTCACATGGAAAAGCAAGAAACATATTATTGTACCCATAGCTAATGTTAGTACAAAGCTATAACTCATTATGCATGTGAAAAGGTATAGGTAAATTTTCTTTTAAAAGATTTTTGTTTTCTTGCTATGCAGCATATGACTCTTTATTATGGCATTCAAATTTCTCTCCATGTGACTCTTTATCATGGCATTTGCATCCCATCTAATTTGCTAGTATTCTTATTTTCTATAAATGAACTAAACATATTGGAGTAGATTGTTTTTTTATACGGGTTGTTTTTCTTCTCAAGGAAATTATTACTCATGTTGCTGGTCAGAACAAGTGGAAGGTGTCTTTTGCAAAGCTCTTGGTCATCTTTCTTCTATTCGTTTATGTAACAATCTGTAGGTAATGGACATATATGTGCATCTATTTTATGAATATTGTTGGCATTGTTGGAGAGTTATGTAGGATTCATTTCTAGTGAAGTACATTAAGGATGAAATCAAAAAGTGACTTTTATTTTCTTCCATTTTTCATGGAAAAAACTATTTCTAAATTCTTTCAAGAGACCATATGAGATGATTTATCTAGTATTATTTGATGCATATGAAGAACAAAATACGTTGATCTATGGAAAGATTATAGATCTACAATAAACAAAGAAAATAAGCAAAGGTTGATGAGTTATTTTGCTAAACTTTTCAATGAAGATTGTGAGAATACGATTGATTTTAGTGGCCTTAAAACCCTAAATGAAAATTAAGATTTTTATTTTTATCGGCGTATTAGTAAAGTCGAAATTAGAGAGGTTTTAAAGAGAATGATGTGTGAAAAGCTGGTGGACCTGATGATATTCCAATAGAGGTGTGAAAATGCTTAGGAGATGAAGGAATTTCTTGATTTACTAAACTTTTTAATATTATTTTGAAGATAAAAGATGCCAAATGAGTGTGTTGATTCCTAATTTTAAGAATAAAGGTGATGCACAAGATTGTGCGAATTATAGAGGAATTAAGTTGATGTTTCATACTTTAAAACTTTGGGAGAGAGTTATGGAGCATAGGTTACTAATGTTTCTCAATTCATGCAGGGTAGGCCTACTATGGAAACTATACATTTATTGAGAGGTTTGATGGAGAAGTATAGAGAGAATAAGGAGGATCTACATATGATATTTATTGATTTAGAGAAAACATATGATAAAGTTCCAAGAGAAGTGCTATGGAGAGTTTTAGAAAAGAAAGTGGTTAATAATGCTTATATTCAAGTCATTAAGTATATGTATGCAGGAGTTGTGGCTTCTGTTCAAACACAAAGTGGTTTGACCAAGTATTTTCCTATTTCAGTTGGATTACATCAAGGATCAGCCTTAAGCCCATATCTTTTTTCTCATGGATGTTCTCACCAGACATTTGCAAGAGGTTTTACCCTGGTGTATGCTTTTTGTTGATAATATTCTTCTTGTTAATATGACTAGAGATGTTGTTGAAGGTAAATTTTCCCATTCTCTATTGTAGGTCTCTGATAGGAAATACTTGGGATCAAGTATTTTCTATGCGTCTCTAGTGCAAATCTCCTCGCCAAATGCTGTCCCGCACAAGAAAGCAGTGAAAACAGCGGAAAAGTGGGGAAAAACTGAGAGAAAACGTAGGAAATCAATAGCAAATGGTTGTATTCCACTAGTAGATGCAAGAGACAAGTAAGATACAATTTTCCTTCGATTCGAGAGGAAGGAAAAACTCTCTAAATCTCTAGCCGTAGTCTAGAGCCCAAGAACAAGAAAACCTAGATCTCAACAATATTCAAAATGCAAGATAATCTCTCATTCACACCCAAAACTCCTAATTAACCATAAAGGAGTTTTACAAAATGTCTAAACAGCCCCTCGCATTCAAAATTTCCCTCCCAAAAATCTTCCCTGGCCCCCGTCGGCTTCGCTTCGCCCGCTCGGTTCCGCCTGCTGTTCGCGGTTCCGTCGCGAGTAGACATGGACCGGCCGGCCCCTCCTGGGCCGGCGTAACAGTCTCCCATTGTAGCTGTTCCATATTAATGACAACAAAGGGAGATCCTCATTTTCGTGTGGCCAAGTTCTAATCATGAACTAACTATGATGTGATATCTTTTATCCAAGTTGTTTCTCTTTTTTCTATCAATCCCTCCATCTCCTTATCCCACACTTTTCTAGAATTTTTTCCCCATTTTTTCTTATCTCTTTATTTTTTTGCTTTCCCTCCATTTTCTCTTTTTTAGTCTCTTCCTTCTAGTTCTCATATCCTACTCCCGCTTACTCTGACTTCATCCCTGTGTCTCTTGTCTCTAGGGTTGCAAACAAATCAAGCCGAGTCGAGTAAGTGCTTGTTCATATTTGAGCTCATGTATTATCAACTTGTTCAAGTTTTGTTCGAGCTCGATTCGAGCTTTTTTATTTGTGTTCAAGTTTAGTTCATTTAAAATGATAGAGGTTCATATTTAATTCATTTTGTACTTATTGAGCTTTAAACAAATGAGCCTTATCAAGCATACTAAAAAAAAATTACTTAAAGCTTGTTTACGAACACATCTAGTGAGTATTTTGTTGGGGAGAAGAAAATCACTCAATGAAACTAACAAGAAAGATAGAAGAAACAGAATTAAAAGAACACCAAGATTTAATGTGGAAAAACTCAAAACTGGGAAAAAAACCATGGAGCCACACTATATCAAGAAAATTCACTATGAAAATTAGGAGAAACAGTACATATCTCTTATCTCTCACTCACTCTTTATTTCTCTTCTCTTTAGCACTATTCTTACACAAGAATAAACAAAGAGATCAATAACAACAACCAAGGGATGCAATCATTAATAAAAATGCTCTGTCTGCGTCACATCATTATGGCGCTCAATTCTCTCTCTTGTTTGCATGATAGCGCCACAACACTGGGGTTGGGAATGCTGCAATGCACCTTGGAAGCACGGTAGTAACGAGGTTTGGAGCGTCGTATCACTCCACTATGTCTTTTTTGCTATGCCGACTCGCTTGGGTACACAACATTGGGGTGTTGTATGGAAAAAAAATTCGGATGGCTTTGCACATGAACCCAAGCAGGGGCAAAACCCTCTGTAACCCCCAGCAAGCTCAATAGATTGAATTGAGGTCAGAGACATATTACAACCCAATTGATCAAAACAATCAGATTTCACAAATAATTAGCATGTTTTTAATATATATGAGTCTGTTCACGTATAAAGCTCAAAAAATAATTTTTCTTATAAACAAGCTTGTTCATAAATACTTTAAACAAACAACCAACAAACATGAATAAATATCTATTGTTCATGAACAAATCCATTATATTAAAAGAGTATAACATAAAAAATAAAATTATTTTTTTTAAATAAGAATAATTTATTATATTAAAATTAAAAATTATGTTAAAACATATAAAATAAAGATTTAATCAAGCTTCTTAATGAGCTTTATATCAAGCATGTTCACGAACATAAACGAGCTGAACACATAATTGTTCAAGTTTGATTATTTAATAGTCGAGTATTTCAAAAATTGTTCAGACTTATTTGATTATTTAAAAAAATGATTATGAACGAGCTGTAAATGAGTCGAGCTACAAGTTGCTTGTCAAACGGAGGTTCATTTGCAGCCCTAGAAGTCTTTGATGCATGGCAATTGCTGCTAGCTGAGGATGAGGAAAGAAGGTTAATAGAACTTTGAGAGCAGGAGAGCTGTGATGGCAATTAGGAATGAAGAGGCCTTAGGGGTACAGAGTGAGATCGTGATAGGAATGCTTATATGTTTAGGTACCCCTACACAATTTGGTTTGTATCTATAGATTTGTATGATCAGGTTAATGTGTTTTTGGGTTGAGATATGTTCAATTAGTGCTTCATTGCTTTTCATAAATGATGATATTTGAGCTTTCTACATTTGACCTTTTCTTATCCACTTTAATTGGTATGTGAGCGGATTTACTATTTGTTGTGCTTTGCTGCATTATTTGTGCTTTAATCATGCATGCGTTGATTTGTGTGTATGCTTCAATGGATGGGGCAATTTCATTCGTATGTGATTATATATGTGTATGTCTTGTACAGTGTGTGCCGAGCATTTTCAATACTAAACATGCCTGCCTCCATATTATATTTTATGTTAGGCACCTGAGCCTGTTGTTTACTGTTAACATTTTTGGCCTCAATTACATTAGTCATAGTAACTGTGAAAGGATGCCTGTTCTCAATTGTGCATAAAACTATCTATCTATTATGTTTCAACACATCCAAAGATAGTGACAAGAGAGCTTGAGTGCCCAATATCATTGTTGGTTAAGCTCCTATTTAAGCCACCTTACTCTTGGGTGTTATTTTAGTTATTTCTTGATTGGCTAGGAATTATTGTTTTTTTAAGCTAGTTTTTGGGGTACTGTTCTCCAGGCTCTGCGTGCATGAACTATTTCAGTTATATTTGTTGAATCATGAGCTCAAAGATTCAAAGCATGGAGCAAAACTAATGAAAACAGTGATTTTCGAGCTCAGTTAAAGATAGCTGATAGAAATTTATTTGTGTAAAAGATAATGCATAAAACTGAATGAGAAAGAAATACCAATGATTAATGTGTGTCATTTGGGATATTATGTTGATTACTGCTGAGATTAATTTCCACATTATGTGTAATAGATCGGCCAAATTTGATTGAGAGGGAATTAAGAAATTTCCTAATCAAGAGGGAGTTGTTTAGGAAGGTTCTTAATCAAAAGGAATGAGTTCGGAGATGTTTCCTTATTGAAGAGAGCATATATGGGAGCTGATTTAGAGGGGATTAATTATGAAATGTTTTCTAATTGAAGATGACATATTTAGGGGCTGATTTGGGTTGGGGTGGGGCGGTAATTAGGAAATTTTTCCTAATTGAAGAGGGCAAATTTATGGGATGATTTGAGGGCTGATTTTTTTTTTTTGGGGGGGGGGGGTTGATAATTAAGCGAAAATATGAGGGAATTAGGGGAGGGCTGTTTGAGTATTTGTTGTTTAATTATTTGCTTTAAATAGGAAGAGAGGATTAGGGTTAGGGGTATGCATGATTATTATGTCTGATTTAGTGTCTTTGGTTCTTGGTGTCTTGGGCCCTAGCATCGTCTAGGGATTGAGGATCAATTGTATCTTGCTTTTTCTTCTTTCGTTAGTTTGATCTTGCAATAGAACTACTGTTTTTCTCTAGTTTTCCATCAAATTTGTGGAGTTTTCTTGCTGTTTCGTCAATATTGTTATTTAAGAATTTCCTAACAAATTGATATCATAGCAGATTTTGGGACTGTTTGGGGGACTTTTCTGATAAAATCAACGACTGATTTTTAAACGGAAAGGGGCTGTTTTGCTGTTTTGGAATCAATATTCAGATTTTTGAGTCCAA